GCGGGGGGGGGGGGGGTGAGAAGGTGAGAGGTTGTATGGATGCATGTAGATTTGCTGCTTATTTCTAATTATTTTTAATAATTTATTCTAATAATATATTTCCAATTCATGTCTAATGAAGGTGGATAAGCAAAACCGATTCAAAGCATCTACAGTACTCCTTACCAAATTATTGTGCTTTACAGATAAGCTTAGCCACCTGAGAGCTGAAGGGTTGCTAGAACACAGAACTATACACAGTTAATGATGTGGAGTTTGAGCGCTGTGTTCTGCTCCAGTCGCACATGTCAAATGAGCTACAAGGCTAATTTCCTTGCAGAAGAGCAATCAGGAACATGGTGTGGAAATAACAAATATCCGTGGTGAGACCTACAAGTGGAGAAATGGTTTCAACTGCTCTGATAGACTGAAAGGTGGGGTGGAGGAAAGAGCTTTTTCTTTGTGGTGCCATTCAGCATACCAGAATCAGCTAAGTGTTAAAGGTGGACTTGAAATAGTTCCTTAAGGTTATTGCTTATAAAGTGTTTGCATTTAAGAAAAATGTCCATCTCCTGGTTGAAGGAAGAGACAATTCCATGTGTGATCTGTGTGTTAAATTTTACGCAAGTAGGCAAGATTTTGGAATTCAGAGTACATGACACAAAAAGAAACAGAACCAGTAAGAAACTGATTTTGGCAGCCTGGAGCATATTTTTAAGCTGACTGAAGAAAATAACTTTCTTGAATATTCAAAGTCAGTCCCTTGTTGGGCTTTGCTTACGATGTTAAGATTTTCCCTGAAAGCAAAACCTTCCTCTGCCAAGCTGTGTATAGCTAGTGAAATCAGATTAAGGCTGAAAAGCACGTTTGTCTGCAACTACTCTAGGCTGGCATCTGCTGCCAGTGATTTTTGAAGTTGTTCTCTTTTTAAAGTTGGTCTCTTCCAGGAGACAAGGAAAATCCCTCAAATCTTCCTCTCTTCCTGTTATCCTGGGTCACAGAGGTTGTTGCATGGGCATTATGTGACCAACTGCTCTGATTGGCAAAGAGGGAGATTAGAGCAGCTGAAGTACAAGATAATTTAACTCTGAATTCACAGGCCTTCTGTTCAGTCACACATGTTCAGTCCTTTAACAGTCCAAATACACAGTAGGGCTAGAGACTGATTTCCTTCTTAGCATATGATGTTGTTGTGTCATTATCCTGCCTGTTTTTTTAATGATTAATACAATTATAATTTCTGAAACTTATTTTAAAGATGAATCCCAAGAAACTGTGTTACTGACTGAACCTGTAAAAGTTTGTTCAGTACAATTATTATTCTTGTAAGTTTAAGTGCCGCCTCTACTTTTTCTGAAGACATTTGCCATACTGTTTTGGTTTTCTAAATTTTCTGAAAATAGGACTCATTGATCAAGGACAGTTTCACTCAGTCAAAATACTGCTGTTTTTGGTGGGTATTAGGAGGCACATGCTGCTCTCTTGCTCTCTCTTTTCTTTAATGAGGAAGTTAATTACTTCAGTAAAAATTTCAGAGACGGAAGCAGTATGAGTGGGGAAGATCCACCAGATTTTCATTTTCAGTCCATTTAATGTCCCCCACATTTGCGTGTAGTTATATATACAGTCATTGTATTCTATACATCAATGCACTGAAAAACGTACAGCATTTGGACTATACTATCCTGGCTACCCACGCCACAAAAGCACTCTCACTGTACTAACACCGGGCCTTTCTTGTTCCTTCAGTGTGTCAGGAAACAGTCTGGGAGGTCTTCAAGACATTCTGGGACAGACTGCCAGAGCGTGAAGAGTATCATACCTGGATGAACCTATGTGAAGAAGGAACAATGAGTATCCTTGAAATAGGCACAAACTTCAGTCAATCAGAAGAGCACCGGAGTCTGATCATGAAGGTAGGTGCAGCACCAGGACGGTGTTTTCTCATGAGCAAGGGCACAACCTCCTACAGCAGTATATAGTTTGGCATGCGGCAGGTGGTAAAGCGTGAGGATTTTAAAGTGTACACGCGTGATGTATTCCAGCTCATTTGAGACAAAAAGTTCTGAAAGCAAAGTTGTAAGTAATCTCATGGAAGGAAACACAATGATGATGAAGAGAGAGTCATCTTTAAAAGGTGCGTTCCTAACAAATGAAGACCGCCTAGAGCTCTTGTCTGAAGAGGCAGCCTGACATGAGGCAGGCTGTGGTGTGTTGCCCTGTGCAATGTGTGACAGACTCCCTGCTGCAAACTGCATAAGGAGAGCCCTTTAGCTCGAAGCTTGGCAGCAGCAGGTTCTGAACTGTATTTCTGCTTCTGTCAAGGATGTATGGCATAAGTACCTGCTTGATGCTTTACACGGCTGTAGGTTTACAATATTTGCATGCTGCAGCCTTACTGAAATGAGTGGAGCTATAAATATAAAAGGCTTTGATATCTTATCAAGACAATTGATGACCTTCTCAACACAAGGAGTTGCAGAGCTTAAGATTAGAGTGTGAATGTGGGGAAAAAAATTGCTGAAGACCTGTGTGTGATCTCTGTTACTTCAAATAAGCGTATTTTAACTTAAAGCAAAGAAAAGAAGCATTAAGCTAAGCTAAATAAGCCTATCTCGAATGAAATATGAAGATGTCTGCTCAGGAGTTTGTACCACTTTTAAAATTAAGTCTTTAATACAAAATTAAGTACTTAACTTTGTACACATTTAAAGTATAATAGATTTTTCGTCGGTGCAAAACAATTTTCTCTGATTAAAAGGCTGTCTTAACATGTCTGATGGGATATGCGTCTTATTTAAAATTAGTTTCTGTATTCTTGCAAGCTGTGGATGTACTTTCATGAAACTTCTGAGAAATCTTAAATGTATGATCCCATAGAATCAGTATAGTTCTGCTAGTATGGACGTGCTGACGTTTTTCCTCTCTGTTTTTTTTTTAATGGACTCCTATGCTAGTAGAATGCACTGAGGATGCAAGGATGAACTGTGGCAGATAATGGAGAGAGGGCTTTTTCTGAGCTTGCATGTTAGTCTTCACAGGTGGATGCTCACCAAAGTCTGCCTCTGTGATATCTCATGCTACTGTTGTCCTTAAAAGATTTTGCAAAAAGACAGAGACAAACAAAATCCACATGGACTTTTTATGTAGACAGCGAATGTATCATTGCCCGAGGTAGAATTTTGGTAGTGAGATCATGTAGAGTGTGAGTTCATTGTTTTGCAATTTATTAAACAAAATCTGGAGGATTCTGAGATGTAGGATGATGCATCACTGCATCCCACTCCTGCTTTACCTTTTGGGCAAATCCCGTTAGCATTACAGTGGACTCAGATGAAGTGCTCTATATTGGATGATTTATTCAGGTGGATTATGTGTAATTTAGGTTTCCTTTTTTCTGCTGCTGGATATACGTTCCCTTCAGCACTGCAGTATTCCAGAAGGCTGTTACCAGTTGTGCTGAAAGCCAATAGGATTAAAAGGTGACAGTTGTATGGGCTCATTTGATGGCAGACCAGTCTGTCTTCAGAGGGATTGACTGGTGTCACCAACGTGTGAATACCACAGGTCTATTGGGTGCCTCTTTTGAAATAAAAGCTTGCAATCAATTTAAATTCGAATCAAAAAAAAAAAAAAGATGATGAGAACTCTTTATCCCTTCCGTGATCAGCCAGCTTCAAAAGGTCTGGTGGTGTATTTTTTAATACGTAGGTCAGAGCGTGGGTTAAATTGCTAACTCTAAGAGTGAGTCCTTAGAGAGAAAGCACATGCTTTCTCACATGAGCACATGCACGAGATGGTTTTCAGAGCGTGGAACCTCTTTAAAGCAGCTCTGCGAGTTAAGTCGAACAAGATGCAGGTATTACCACTCCGCTTTTAGGAACATCGTGAGTTGCTTGCTCACGTCTAATTTGATGGTATGAGTTGAGGCCCAGCTCGGCCTGTGGGACTGAGCACGCTCTCTAAAGCACTAGGTGCTATGCTGTTGCCCTTGCTGCTTTCAGCAGCTACACTGACTAAGTTGCATGGCTAAGCGTTTGGCTTAGTTTGGGAATTTTTTTTCCTCTCGTTACAACATATCCATTCATTTGCTCATGGTCAGCTGTTGCCACTTATTTTTTGGTTCCTTAGGCTCCGTTCCACAACGTGCTGAGCATTTCTCACCTAACAGGGAGGGCTGCCATCATTTCACGGCATGCACAGTACCTCGAAAGATGCCACGTGCGAATAATTCACACTCTCAGTTCTTTGAAAGAAAGAATCACTTCCGTCTTGCACTGTAGAAAAGCAGCGTACATGGTTGGTAGTTGTTCAGCCTGTAAATTCCTGGTCTGGCCACTACATGCCTCATTAAATAACACTTGTTTCTACTCTTGCTCTGCTCTCCAGGCTCTGTGCATCATCTGTGGTTAATTTCAGCAGTTTGGTTTAGAGCCTGCTGCTGATGAAAGTATTTCGGCTGCTCTCTGTTATATGCTGGCTATTACTGCTGTAGCATTGACTTGCCACTTCTTTTGTATTGTGCATGTTGGCAGTTTCTGGCAGCCTTAATTTAGAGCGTCTCTCTGTAATACTTTTCAGTGGACGACAACGTGAGATTCAATTTTCGGAAGTGCTGCATGCACAATTTTCCCTCTCCCTCAAAGTCAGTTCAGCGTATATGAAAAGTAGGTAAGATTATTCTGTGGGGCTTGCGCTCAATAAATAACAGTTCATCAAAACGATTGCTGTTCATGCTGATTTTGTTTTGAAGTGTGGAGTTTGTTCTGAGCAATGTAACTAAATGACACTTTATTAGCCTTTCTTCCTGGTTTTATTTCTTATCCTTTCATCTTAATCACTGTCACACAACTACAGTTACTGCGATTCCTGCTCCAACATGGGTTAGTTAACATAAAGAACAACACTATTTCTCTCACTTTTGACAAACTTCTGTATTGGATGTCAGCTGGAGCTCTGGTCCTTTTGTTCCCAGCTGCAACTTTTTTTTCTCTTCAGGAAAAGTATTGCTTAAGCTCTATGAGTCCATCAAAGAGACTCATTTGGTGGAGAAATTTGGTGGAGGCATGCATAGCTAGATTGACTCTTTAGCCATCACATGGCTTCTACCTGTAAGGGAGGTGGGCCTCAGAAGGCAGTGCTTTTGTTATCCTTTAATTAAGCAAGCTACATGCCATATGTTGTCTTGGAGAAGTGAGGCCTGCCTCTCTGTGGTTACCTATAAGCATATGTCTGTGTGTGTCTGTATGTATGCATGTTATACAATACTACTAAGTTTTCACCAGGTTCTTAAAACAAACCACCTGCCAGATTTTCAGAAGGAGCAGATTAACAGCTATACAGATTTTTGTCAGCCATAGAAGTGATTTTAAATATTATTTTTTGCAGATTTTCATTTCCTGTTCTGTGTGATGACGCTAAATAAAATTACTTTACATGGGGTAAATACTAGCCTAATTTTATTTTCTCTGGTGATTAAGTAGATTTACTAAGTGTTGGATTCTGTTATCCCTCCACCTTCTCAAATCTTGGCAGAAATTGAAAGAGAGAGGATGCTTCTAGTCCATAGGGAATTTTTGCTTGTAGCATATTTCTTCTTCTAAGCTTTGTTTCATATAAATTAACCCAACTTGTCTTCCTTGCTGTATAGTTATATTTCAGCTGGAGTATAAGTCTCTACAGTATAGAATATCTTCATTTTTCCTATTCACACAGTCATTTTGCATTTTTGGATACATGTCTAGAATTCTGATATTGCCAAAATTTGCCCCCACTCTGCCCTGTGACTATGGCTGTGTTTAATGCTCTTGATAGATAATTTTTGAAAGGTGCAAAAGGAGAGAAACACAAGAGTAACTAAAGTTTTCCACAGGAGGCTTGAATGTTCTGCTACAAGGGTGAAACACTGCTGCCAAATCAGCACAATCTGCACGCTGTTCAAGGGAATGTTTACAGCTGGCAGATGACAGTATTTTGTAAGGTACTGATATAGCTGCTGGAGATATTTTTTGGCTCTATAAATTGCTGAAATAATGCAACGTTTCTGGAATAGCCATTTGGACTGTTTTGACACCTGCTCTCCTTTGTTTTTCTCCTTTAGAGAAGAAACTTTTTTTTTTTCTTCTGTGTATTCTGGGGATTCTTCAAAAAGAAGTTACAAAAAAAGACATCCCTGCCTGTTTTTTCTTGCAATTTGTCTTTAACTCTGTGCAACTTGTTAATCATAATGAATCACAGAATCACAGAATCGTTTAGGTTGGAAGGGACCTCTGGAGATCATCTAGTCCAACCTCCCTGCTCAAGCAGGGTCACCTACAGCATATTGTCCAGGATCACATCCAGACGGGTTTTGAATATCTCCAGCGAAGGAGACTCCACTACCTCTCTGGGCAACCTGTTCCAATGCTCTGTCACCCTCACAGTGAAGAAGTTTTTCCTCAGGTTCAGATGGAACTTCCTGTGGTTCAGTTTCTGCCCATTGCCTCTCGTCCTGTTGCTGGGCACCACGGAGAAGAGGCTGGCCTCATCCTCTTGACGCTCCCCCTTCAGATACTTGTACACGTTGATGAGATCCCCTCTCAATCTTCTCTTCTCCAGGCTGAACAGGCCCAGCTCTTGCAGTCTTTCTTCCTAGGAGAGGTGCTCCAGCCCTCTAATCATCTTGGTAGCCCTCCGCTGGACTCTCTCCAGGAGTGCCATGTCTCTCTTGTCCTGGGGAGCCCAGAACTGGGCACAGTACTCCAGGTGAGGCCTCCCCAGGGCTGAGGAGAGGCGCAGGATCTTCCGATACTTGTACACGTTGATGAGATCCCCTCTCAATCTTCTCTTCTCCAGGCTGAACAGGCCCAGCTCTTGCAGTCTTTCTTCAGAGGAGAGGTGCTCCAGCCCTCTAATCATCTTGGTAGCCCTCCGCTGG